GGATTACAGAGCTGTGGGTGCCTTTCTCTTAGCCCAGGGTGTAGGCGAGTTGGATTTGAGGACTGGCCTCTCCACTTAGAAGCTGTGTGACCTGGTAATTGACTAACCCCAGGCCTCTGTCTGTCACCTGTGCGGCTGCCCTCCCTCTTAGAGGCTGCGTGAGGATGAGTGAGATGAATCCCAGACAGTGACCAGCCCGGTGCCTGGCACACAGTTAGCACCTAGTAGGTGGTGAGGACCAGCGCCATTGTTCTCATTGTCAGGGTTCCCACACCATCCAGGGAGTGATGGGAGGTAGGGGACGGCGTCTGTCTTCTTGCCAGCCTGCTGGGCTGCTCTTTGGCTTAGGGAGGAAAGGCACAGTCTGGGGAGGGGGAGGCATTCCCGCCCCCCCATGGTGGGTCTTTGCTCTTTTGCTGCTGGGTCAGAGTGAGTACTGACTTGTTAGCATTCTAAAGGGCTGGGCACTTTCTGCCTCAGTGGGCATTTGTTCTGTTCTCGTCATTAAAAAGCACGTGCAAAAAAAATCCTTTTTTTTTTTTAATCTTCATGTTGAAAGTATTACATATGTCCCCTTTTTCCCCATCTGGCCATTTTTTTGAGAGTGATGGGAGGAAGAAGGATCCCCCAGCAGGTCAGCCTGCAGGAGTTCCTGAAGCAGGTGCACATGCTCTGCCTCCCTGCCCCCATCTCTCCTCCCTGTCCCCCGGGAGGTTTTCAGTGAAGTGGGTGATTCTGTGCTCTCAAGGTTAAGAAGCAGTGCCATCGCCCTATGGCTCAATGGATAGAACGTCAGCCTGCGGACTGAAGGGTCCCGGGCTCAATTCCAGTCAAGGGCACATGCCCAGGTTGCGGGCTCGATCCCCAGTGTGGGATGTGCAGGAGGCAGCCGATCAGTGGTTCCCTTTCATCATTGATGTTTCTCTCTCTCTCACCCTCTCCCTTTCTCTCTGAAATCAATTAAAATACAGTAGGTGCCTCGGGTTACGTTGGAGATCCGTTCCTACGGCGACCTAACATGATTTTCGCCATAAGTCGGAACCCACCTGCATAAGCACCTACGTCACTCACATGGAGCAGAGACAGTGATGAAGTGAAACAGTAAAAAAATTTAAAAGAAAGATAACAATCCCTGACCTTTACTTGTGGTAAATAAATAATAAAAACATAAAGCACATATGTACATACATTGAAATGATGGAACTTTTTAAAAAATATATTTTATTGATTTTTCTCAGAGAGGAAAGGAGAGGGATAGAGAGTTAGAAACATCGATGAGCGAGAAACATTGATCAGCTGCCTCCTGCACACTCCCTACTGGGGATGTGCCCGAAACCAAGGTGCATGCCCTTGACCGGAATCGAACCTGGGACCCTAGAGTCCGCAGGCCGACCCTCTATCCACTGAGCCAAACCGGTTAGGGCGGAACTTTTTTATAAATAAATGGGAGATGGCGACGTAACCACGAAACGACATACGTCAAGTCCGACGTAACCTGAGGACTGCCTGTATATTAAAAAGAAAGAAAGAAAAAAGCAGCAGCAGCACTGCCATAAAGAACTTCTCCAAATGAGGAGACGCTGCTGAGGATGCCAGCGGCCTCGCACCCTGCGATGCTGGTGCCGGCCCTGGAATGTAGGCTCCTGGCTCCTGCCCGAGGCATTTTCTTCTCGCCAGGCTCATTCCTTTCCCATATTTGCTGTTCCTCGTGGTGGGTCAGAAATAGCCAGCCCAGACTTGGTGAGCCTTTCACTCCCCGCGGCCCAGCCCGCTGTGGCCAGCGAACGGCCAGCTGTCAGCGTTCTGAACTCCCGGGAAGGCTTTTCTGGAAGAAGCTGGGAGGTTTGGGATTCCAGGCTGCGTCCTGCTGCGTCAGTGCTCGTTTGTTCAGCTGGTGAAGTGTCCCTCCTGGAGCGGGCGTCCCGGGCACACGTCCGGGGAGCCCCGGGCCCACTGGCAGTCCCAGGTCGCCATGGTTCCAGCTTGGATTTGTGCCTGAGGGGGCAGCCACTGGAACACAGTAAATGCCACATTTGGTGTTTGATCCATCCGGTTAATCCTAAGGTAATCCTGACCCTGTGGCCTCAGCCACTCCCCAGGTGGTCGCTCTGTGCTGCCCCAGCAGCCCCGGTGCAGGCCTTGGTGTTCTGGTTTCACAGATGAAGAAACGGGCTCAGCGAGGTTAGGAGGCTTCCCTGAGGTGACACAGCCAGGAGGCGGCAGGTCCCGCCCTGTTACCCACTCCTGCTTCTTGCTGCAATGAGTAAGCCTCCTCCCTCCCTTCACTGCCTCAGCTGTGACTGCAACACCCATGTGGGCCCCGGGAGCCTCATCCCAAGGCCCACAGTCTTGTAGACAGAAGTCTTGCATGTGACTGTCACACTGGTGCATTTGGGAGCTCTGCTTGTTGTGGCTGCATTTCTGAGACAACGCTGGCTGTTCCCAAGGCCCATTTGTCAGTCCCAGCGCGTGTCCTGGATGGCGTGACATCCGTGCCCGTGCTGACGACTCCTCTGGGTGCAGAGTGGTTCGTGCCAGTCTCACGGTCAGCCTGCAGGTGACGTGGTACATGTGACCCCAGGGAGATGTTAGGACAGCGCCTTCCACTCCCTCCCTCACTGCCCACGTTGTTGGAACCCCTCTGCTTTCTCTCAACCACCCTTGCTTTCTTTCCCTGTGACGGAGTGGGCCATCAGACTTGGCCTGAAGAATTCTCTCTGGTCCTCAGCCTCATCGCCTTGTCCTTCCATCTCCCCAGCTAGCCAGCAGGCAGGATCAGCCTGGCTCCCTGCCCGCCCACTGCTGTGCACTGAGAAATCCCGCACCACCTTCTAGAGGGGCCTCCACAAATCCAAGGGTTTTAACCTCAGTTGGGCTCCTTTTTGGTTCTGTCCATCCTTTCTCCAGAGAGATTGTTCTAAAATGTAGGTGTGATCAAGGCACTGCCCTGCTTCAGACCCTTCAGAGGCTCTGTGGGGCCGTCGGCCAACAAGGGGGCCAGCTGATTCGGCTTCCGGCCTCCTCTCAGCCCAGCCCTGCTTCTTGGCCTCTCCCGGCTTCTGCCCTCGTCCCCGTGGGTGATGCTGGCTCTTCCTGAGCATTCTCTCCACTTGGTCTCCCCACTCTTGTTCCCCACTGAGCCCTGCTCTGGGACCCTCTCTTTCACCCTGTGCTCCTGGTCCGGGCGCGTTCCCCACGTGAGGGTATGGCAGCCGTGATGTTCCTCTCACGGCACCTTGAAATCTGGGAGTGAAAGCTCTGGTCCTAGGGGGGACAGCTCGCTCCCCCTCCCTTCCCTTCTCCTCCCCTCCCCTTCCTTCCCCTCTCCTCGGGCTAATGGGTCTTGGTGAGCCTTCAAGGGCAGGAGTTTCATTTGTCAGGATTTATTTCAACAAGCAAAATTCCCAGGAGACTTTTAAAGCACTTTTGTTATTTAGATGGTCTACTTGTTGTGCTGTTCTTTCTCAGTTCTTCACGAAGAGGAGGATTGAGTGTCCGTGTTCAAGAACCGTTTTGCTTGTTGGGGAGGGCTGTTCCCGGAGGCTGGCTGGGTGTGTGGGTGAGCGGCTGTTTCATTGACCACTGCCGGGGGGAGCAGGAGACGCACCCAGAAACAAAAGGAACACTCGAGCCTACAAATGAGTGAAGCTTTAAGCCTGTGGGAGTTCAGTTACTCCACACTTCCCTGTGTAATACCTGCCCTCTGCGACTCCTCTCCCATCCCCAGGCGAGGCCGAGCACCTGTTCATGGCACACGCTCCCGGTACTCTGTGCGCTTGGTATGAAGTGAGTGTGTACCTCGGGGTGTGGCGGCTCTTTCCTGAGGAAGGGCAGCCACCCTGGGCCAAAGCCCACGCTGCCATGGTCGCTGTTGCACCCGGGCCTGGCCCAGAGTCAGAGCGAAGGCATATGGCTGAGAACCAGAGAGATTTAACTTAAAAGATCACAAGCAGCCAGAGAAGAACTGGTTAAGAGCCTGTGCTGACCTGTGTGCTTTCCTGGAGCTTCTGCAGACGTGCTGCGCGTGCGCGGCCTTTGCAGGCTCGAGTGGGTGTGATAGCCTCCCGTTCGGGGCGTTAGGGTTTCCCGGAACGAGTTTCCGATCTTTCATCGGTGCGTGTGGTTTCTCAGAAGAGGTTCATACAGACACTGGTAGCTGATAATCACCGTGAAGATTATTTAGGATTCGGGGAATTTCTTTTGGAAGCCTAAGCTTGACTGTCACCCACTAATCATGAGGCCGAGTGGGGAGGAAGAGGAAATGTGAACCTTCACTGTGCACAGGCCCATCTTAATGGAACCAGTAATTGAGTGCTATTAAGCAAAATTAATTTGCCTCTTGTAGGAAGGTTTATGATGAATGAAAGGATTGCTCATTGGGGAGGAAGCCAGGTTACCCTCTGTGGTCATTAATATTTCATGGCCATAGGCAGTGGCAGGAAGTTAGCTATCCTGGCTCCCTGACCTTGAGCATGAAGGTAGGACACAGCCAGGGAGGTTGTATTTAAAGGGCTTGTTACAAGGCACTTACTGAAAATCTAAGTGAAATTTAAATCTGCAAGATGCACCCCTGTTAATTGAATTTACACCCTGAACTAGTGGGAGGTTCCCCCAGATTGCTCAGGGACCCAGCTGAGACTGGTCCTAGTGGGGGCAGCTCTGACAGCCACATCGGCAGAGCTGAAATGTTTAATGATGGCTTGGCGGGGGGAGGGGTCCTGATTTGTAGTGACTGCTGGCTTCTGTGGGTCAGTACACTGGCATGGCCGGTGTGAAGCTGCTGAATCCAGGACTGGGGCAATGTGCGGGTTTGCCTGTGCACTGGAGCTGCGGCCCCGCCTGCTGTCCCCACAATCCCTGACTCCTGGTGACGGGGAGATCCGGCCCAGCGGTGGCATTTCCAGAAATACAGATGTGCCCGGGCATTGCTCCTGTGTTAGGCTCGGCCCCTTGACTGAGAAAGGTTAACGAGCCTCTGTTTTGTTCTTTCTTCTCCCTAGCTGCCATTAACTTAGTGAAGCTGAAACTTTTCAGACATTATTACGTCTTGGTGAGTAAAAGCCCTCAGTCTGTACATAACAAGTAGAGCAAATGGGCTCCTCAGGAGGGTGGGTGCACGAGGCGGGTGCTGCCTGGGGCTGTGGCTTCACTCCAGGTTGTGTCCTTGGGTCTGGGAATTAAGTGTCTGCTTGCTTCTTTCTAAAGTTTAGTTTTAAATTTGGCTTTACGTACTCAGAAAAGCAGTCCCTGCTGGATGTGTTCACAGTGCAGGATTATAGAAACACAGCGCTGCCCTCTCCGACCCCGAGCCTCCTCCCCTTGGTGATCACTGTTGGCAGCTGAGTGCCTCTTTCTCTAGGTTCTCTCCTAGGATTGGATGCTCCTTTGATGGGACTTTTTTATTCATTTACAAAAATGGGGTCACACATAAACACAGAACTGAGACAAACATGAAGGGCTCATACAAGCATTAGCACCAAAGGCAGGACTTACTCTAGATTATGAGAAACAGAATTTCTTGGACTATTTAAGGTACGGGTCTTCTAGAGTTTGCTTCCTGACTCCTAACAAAGTTTCTGAGTCATCTTCCCTTTGGACATGTTTTTCCTGGTCCCGGGGAGCAGGCCACACTCGAGTGGCCCGTGAGTCGCACTCTCAGCGGCCCCTCCCCGCTAGAGGACTTAGGACTATTGGCACTTGTGCCGTGTGGCCCTTGGCGTCCCAGCCTCTGCTGCAGAGACTGAAAGTCAGCACTCCCTGTGGCTTTATTTTGCTGTTGCTGCTGGAAAACCCCCCTCCAGGGAGGGAAAACATTACCCCCTGGGTGCTGAAATCAGCAGCCATCCTGAAATCTTCGCCCTCCCGTAGGGGTGGCAGTTTCCAGAGCTGTGGTCACCAGAGAGCAAGAAGTGCTGCCTTCTCAGTGTGACCAGCAGGGCCACTCTGTGTCTGTTTTGTAGTTAGTTTGAAAGCACATTGTCGGAAGAAAGTGGTGCCAAGTTTCTGTGTTGATCTTGTTTCTTTCCTCTTCCTTAGATCGTATGTTACATATACTTCACCAGGATCATTGCATTTTTCCTCAAATTCGCTGTTCCGTTCCAGTGGAAGTGGCTCTATCAGGTATGCTGGTCCCGGGGACGGCCTGAGGCTGCAACCTAAAGTCACGGTGCGCCCAGCAGCGCCCGGTGAGGCCTCGTTCTCTTCCGGGCTGCAATTCCGGCTCCTGGCCAGGGGAGCTGCTGGGTTGAAGGAGAAATCTGGAGGTCGTTGCATTATTGATGTTAGCGTTAATGCGAAGAAGAGTCTTTGAAGAAAAGAGCCTCGGGCAGAGAGAGTCAGGTTTACTCTGCAATTAAAGCCCAGATGAGACGGTCTCCGTCAGTTACAGGACTTAGAGTAGCTTAGAATGCAGACCTTCCTCTCCTTTGCCCATTGTTATAATTTCAATAGTGACGTATCTTTGCAGTAACTAGAACTGGCTTCACTACTAGGGCAGGCCATCGAATGGTCTGGAGACTGTTCTCTTAAGTACTCTTGATGCGTTAGGCACTGTAGGAAGTGGGAGTATGTAATGACCCTTAAAACATAGCAGTGGACACTCCAGGTAAAGCCAGGAGTCTTAGGTGTCATCTCTGGGCAGAATGCCTGGCTGAGGCCTCAGCACAGCTTGGGAGGAAACTGCTCTCTAGCAGCCAGCTCGACGTGTGAGGAGTGGCTGTGGAGTGGCAGGTTGCCGGGCGGGGGTGGGGGTCAGCTCGTTTAGTCCCACTGCTTTCCGAAAAACAGTGGAGCTCATCCTTTGTTTGGGGTTTTTAATTTGCAGCTCATGGACGAAATGGCCACTCTGGTGTTCTTTGTTCTCACCGGGTACAAGTTCCGCCCAGCTTCAGATAACCCCTACCTTCAGCTTTCTCAGGAAGACGATGACCTGGAAATGGAGTCTGTGTAAGAAATCTCCCTCCCTCTCTCCCTCCCTCGCCCCTTTGCCTAACACAGAGCAGCAGGGTGTGAATTGGAGCAGCTGCTGCACATGTGGTTGCTCCAGAGGTGGGCCCTCTATTTTTAGCAGGAGGAAATGGACACTGCGCTCGGTAACTGGGTGGCATGAACTTGGGGACATGCTGGGCCTGTTTCAAACTACTGAGGACGGGCAAGCCCTCTTCCTGCTGGGCCCCTGCCATGGGGAGCCTGTGTCTGAAAATGTGATCCTCCGAATCTCATAAGTCTGCTAGTGAAGGTCAGACGTCCTTTATCCTCGGAGAGCAAGCGGCTCTTTGCAGCAGCACCACCACTGACCTAGATCTGCATTATCCGGCTTCTGAGTCTCAGGGTGAGGGCCTCCAGGGTGCTGCTTCTGGGAAAGGCAGGCACTTGGGAGAAGTGAATAGCGATGAGGAATATTGTGCTGTTACCTGTGGGGCCAGGCGGGTTGTGTTCGAGGGTTGGCCTGAGGGGGAGTTTCCGGTGCACTGCCCCCAGCCAGGTGGCCTTTGATTTTTCCTAGTTCAAAGGCGGAGCCTTGGCCCACTGGGCCCTGCCAGGCTGCCAGCCTGGGAGAGCTCCTGGCGCCCAGCTCCACTGTGAGAACCAGGAGCGAATGCAGATCCTGCTGTTGGGCTCCAAACAGCCCCTCCCTGTGCAGAGGAAGAAGTGCCTGTTGGTGGAGGGAAGGCAGGAGAGGCATCACATGCGCCTCTGCTGGAAGCTGCAGGTCTGAGCGAGTGACTGGTTGAACAGGCGCAAGTGAGAGCCAGTCTGGAGAGGAGCAGCAGCAGGAAGTAACCTGAGGTGGGGGGGGATTTGTCCATCCCTGCTGGGGACCCTGGCTGGTTCCTGGGGTGGGCAGCTCGGAGCCGAATGGCTGGCTCCTGACATCTTCCGCTTGACTGGGCTGTGGTCTGAAATGGCTGTACCAGTTGGTGTTCTCGCCAGCCACGTAGAGTTCCTGTCCCCACATCCCGTCCGCCAGCTGCTGGTCTGGAAGTGTGGATGCGTTCGGAAGGTCTGTCCCGTGGCAGAGTTCTGTTTTGGTTCTGGTTTCTCGCTGACAATATTTGGTGACAGGGTAGTCTTTTCGCAAGAGGGTCTGCGGCTGTAGTCAGGAGGAAAGGAGAGGGCGTGGGCAGACAGACTGCCGTCTATGGGGACTAGAGAACCTGTTCTTTTTTCTGGCAAGACTTGGGAAGTCTGGGATGTCCTCGGGCTGCCTCCGTTTACACCCGTCACAGGGCGACAGTACTCTGGTCGCACTGTGTCAGTGCCTTAGTGGAGCCGTCCTGTGCCAGTGAATGGGTTCTCCCTGTGTAGCAGCGGAGAGAGGGCAAACCCAGCCGAGGGTTTGTTTAGGGTGGTGCACTTCCTGGGAGCGCAGGCCCAGTTTAACCAGAAAAGATGTTTAGGAGCGGATTGAGGTCAAGTACCTTTAAATCCGCAAGGAAATTGTTCTGGGCTTTCTCTTGGCTAAGACTCTGCTGCTAAGAGAGTTCTAGGAATTTATAAGATGTGACAGCACAGCAGGCTGGGCCGGACGCTCTGGAGCAGCTGCCTCCCGTTCCCCTGCAGGTGCGCAAAGGCTAATTGCAGCCGCTCAGGGCAGCCGCCCGGGCTGTCGTCTCCCTCCGCCACTTGCAGTGGGAGTGCTCAGTTCCCCTAAGTCCTCCACAGACAACCAGCCAGAGGCAGTGAGCCTGCGCCTGGTTTCCCAGCAGGTCAGGAGCTCCCTGCCATCCACACGGGAGGGGCTTCCCAAAGAAGGGAGCTGGTCTGATCCTTGTCACGGAACAGCACTCTAGGAGGTAGTATCCTCAACCCCCCCCACCCCCTCGGCCCCAACAGACCCACACTCTTCCTGGTGGGTCTGACACTGCAGCACGGGAGCGGCCACCGGGAGATTCTGGGGAGTTCCTCCCGCCCCTGCCCTCACCTCCTTCATCTGAGGCCCAGCTGAGGGGCGGAGTGCATCTGGGGAGTGGGTCTCTCCCAGGGGGTGGGACTGGGAGCTTTCACCCCTTTTCCTCCCTCCGACCCTGCAAGATGAGGGCGCACTCAGAGGTAACACTGACTTTGTCTTTTTCCTCTTTCTTTCAACATCTCTTTGGACCAATTTTGGTAACAAAATTTATCATAAAAAATTCAACATGTTAAATATTGGCTGCGATTTCAGCACTCAGCAGCTGCCCGTGTGCTGTGCGTGTCCTGCGTGCTCTGAATTATGTCTGTCAGCCTGAGAAGTGGGAAACGTGTGTGTGGGTTCCAGGACTGCTCCCTGTGAGCACCCGAGGGGGTCGGCACCCACGTGGGCACAGGACTGTGGGAGATGACAGGATTGTCTCTCAGCCAGGCCCCTCCACCATCCAGTCCAGAAAGCAATTGCTAGTTTGCTTATAGTTTCTGGTTTAGTTTGGTTAAAGAAATAGTTGTGTCCATGGGCCACTTTCTCACGCCACATGTGACTGTGACCTGGGTGGCAGTGGGTGTCTAAAGCAACATTCTCATCTTGCCTGTGTGCATGAGGCCCTGTGCTCTCTCCGTCTCTGTTGGAGCTCCCTGCTCCTTGTCTCGGGCACCTCTCCTCCACTCTCCTGCCCGTCCTCCACAGACTCCTGTACTGATCCCACAGCGAGCATCAGCCTTAGGGGCCATAGCACTGGCCCCTGGCCTCAGCCCAGCTCCCCAGCTGCTGGCCACCTGCCTCAGAGAGGCGCTTCCCTGAGCAGGCACTGGAAGCAGGACAGCTCCTGCTGGAATGGGCACGGGGCTGGGCAGCCAGAGAGGCCAGCCTGGCCGTGTGCCCTACGGGCAGCTGTGAAGCGCCAGCCGGAACAGAAGCCCAGCCTTCCGGGAGCCCGGTCTCCTGCGGGGACAGTGGGACGGGGTATAGACAGTCCTGAGGTCCAGGCGTGCACTGGAGCCACGGAAGGGCACGTCACCAGCCAGGACAAGAAGGTGCTAGATGGGCAGAGCAGCTCCTCCAGAAGAGCAGGCCTCGCCTCTGGAGACCTCCCTGTGAAGTGAGTGGTGGTGACTGCGATCTGGGCATCTCCAGAGGCTGTGCCTGTCCCCTGAGTGGGAGTTACGGTGAAAATCCCGCTGCTCATCGCTCCCCACGCATGTAGAGACCTTTTCTTTGAGAGCCGTTTCCGTGCAGAGGGCTGGGCCAATGGGGGCTCTCCAGCTCTTGTCCCCTCTTCAGTGTTGGCATCAACATGAGGCCGTGCGGGAGGTGCCTGCGAAGCTGTGAGGTCCCTGCCTGGGCGACCGCAGGGTGTCAGTCTGACCTCCTGCCTCCGTTTCACTGCTGAGTGGCTGAGCTGCCCAGGGACGACTCGCACTCTTCAGCAGCAGCGGCCGGGCTTGCCTGCCCAGAGGTCTGCTGTGCCCCCGGCATCACTGCCGTCCGTCTTGATCTGCTTCAGGTCCCACAGTCAACCCCACATCACCTGCTCTGCCTGGGGCTCCTCACGTGCCGGCGCCCTCCCCTGGACAGACTCTGGGGGTGGGTGCCACATGGAGGGTAGTTGGTGGGGGGATGGGCAGGGTCCTTGGAGAGTCTGTTGAGTTGATTGATTGCATTTATTTTATTGGTCAGGAGGTTCCTGTGGGTCCGTGACGGGGACATAAGAGACTTAGGAGATGCGGGGCCGGGCATGTTTGTTTTAACAGGCTATTTTTTAGAGCAGTTTTAGGGTCACAGCGACATTGAACAGAAGATACAGCCATTTGCCATAAGCGTCCTGGCCTGGCCTCACGCATGCCCAGCCTTCGCATTAGCAGCAGCTCCTCCAGAGCGGCGCATTGTTCCAGTCGATGAACCTGATTGACAGTCGTTGTCACCCGGAGTCCATAGTTTACCTTAGGGACCGTGCTGGTGGTGTGCACTCTGTGGGTTTGCACACATGTGTGAGGACGTGTATCTACCGTAATAGTGTCACACAGATCGTGTCACGGCCCTAAAACCAGTCCTGCCAGGAGGAGCTCAGTATGTTTGCTCGATGCCTCCTGCTGTGGGGCCACCGTGTCCTTCGCTGATATACAACCGTAGAACCTGCCCAGCTTACATCTTGTTTTCCCATGGACCCGCCACACGAGAGGCTGCGCTCCACTCCAGGGAAAGGGCTAGCATGCCTCCATTTTTTGTTGTTGTTAATCCTCATCCGAGGATATTTTCCCATTGATTTTTAGGGAGTGGAAGACAGAGGGAAAGACAGAAATATCGAATGTGAGAGAGACACATTGGTTGGTTGCCTCGTGCACCAGGGCCCGGGCAGGGGAGGAGCCTGCAACCAAGGTACGTGCCCTTGACCGAAATCGAACCTGGGACCTTTCGGTCTGCAGGCCGGTGCTCTATCCACTGAGCCAAACCGGCTAGGGCCGTGCTTCCATTTTTGATCCATGGATTCAGTGAAGGGCTCCACGGCCCCTCCTGAGTGTCAGGGACCAACAGAGAATAGACCCTGCCCGGGAGGCATGGGGAGGCGGAGACCGTGCTCACTGACGACGCGGCCTGCAGGGACCAGGGCCTGGGTCTGCAGAGAGTTCTAGTGTCGGGCTGGCCCGTAAGGGCCGCCGCACCCGTGCTTCTGTCCCGTGACTCAGGATGCTCCCGTGTGGCTGGTGACTGAGTGTCTGCCTCGGGCCAGCTTTCTTTTCAGATGTTCACTGTAACGGGGCAGTCTCGTGGCTGTTAGAGGACGTGCATGCCACGTGGAAATCCGTGGAGCCATGACAGGCTGGCGCTGATTGTAGCGATAACAGCCGCCATGCGCTGATTGGGCGCTTTGGAGAGCTCATTGCCCTCACGGTCGTTCTGGGAAGCAGGAATTGCCCATTGTACTGGAGCACGGAGAGCTCAGGTGCCTTGGCCAAGGTTCCATAGTGGCCAGAGCCGGGCGGAATTCAAGCCCCGCTCTGACTCCAGAGCCAGCCCTTCACCCCCGGGAGGCGCTGTGGCGAAGACGGCCCTGCTGCCCACTGACGCGCCCCTTGTTGTTTCCCTGTGCAGCGTGACGACGTCCGGGGTGATGGAGAACATGAAGAAAGTCAAGAAGGTGACCAACGGCTCGGTGGAGCCCCAGGGCAACTGGGAATGCGCCGCATGATGGAGCACGCTCGAGGCTGGCCCCGCGAAGAAGACACTTAATTTATTAATAGTCCTCTTGGTGAGCGAGAGCAGCTGGCACCTCCCGACAGTGACACCACAGCGCGCTGGGGCAGTGCCACGGAAGCCCTTTTTTACTCTTTTATGGAAACTGATCGTGGCTGGTCGTAGGCAGCTGGGTTTCTCCTCCAGGTGGGCACGCTGCGGAGGGAGTGTAGCGAGGAGGAGAATAAAAGGAAGACTTCGTTTTGATTTACATATTTTTAATTGGGAAGGAGCTCTTAGGGTATATGCAGTGTGACCCCCAGTGTGTGGCACATCAGAATGGACGGTGGGTGGGGAGGAAGTCAACATCGGTGTCATCACAGCACAGGCTTACAGGGGATGGAGAGGGTTGCTGCAGCTTTTGGAGACAAAAACAAATGAAATTAGGTGATTCTAGAAAGCAGGGTCAAAACTGATTAGTATGCCGAGCCTGCCCAGACTCCTGTCCCCAAAGGTGGCTCAGGCCTTTCTCCCAGATCCTGAAAGGGTCCAGGAACCGGCAGCTCTGGGAGCTGTATCTGTCCAAGGGGCTCTGCGTGGGGCTGGGTGTCACAGCCCGGGGCGGGGGACAGGGGGAGGGGGAATGGTGATGGAAGGGTGTTCTGTGTTGCCTAAAGGATGGACAGAAATATATTTTTAGCTCAAAAGCATTCTGTAGGGTTTTCTTGAACATCCAGAAAAGTTCCCTCTCCTCGTGGTTCGTGTCCACCTGGTGTGATGGGAGTCTGGGGGGCGGGGGGATTTCCTTCAGGAGCAGCTGGGGCAGGAAAGGAGGTGTGATCATCATCACCAAGCTTTCCCCGTAAGCCAGAGGGTTCTGGACAGAGCAGGTGGCCAGCTGCCCGTCTGCGTTGAGTGTGTGGGGAAGTGTGACTGGTGGCTTAGGCTCAGGGCCGGGAGGCGTCTCACAGGAATTCGGGTTCCCTTGCGGACTCTCCGAGCGTGGGGACCAACACGGGCGCTGCCCCCAGCGAACAGCATTGCGCTTAAGCGGTTGGAGGCTGGGCCGCTCCGAAGGCCCGTTGTGGCGGAGGCCTTTGTGATCATTCCCACTCAGGACGGCTTCCTCCTGCTCCGGTGCCAGGCGTGCGGGGCCTCCTGGCAGGTGGACAGGGACAGTCCCTGGTGGTGGTTTGCTTACCTCTGGCTTGGAGGGTCAGTCAGAAACCACAAGATTTAGGGGTGGCTCCATATCCCAGGTTTGGGAACCTGAAGTCTTTCCTCAAAAACGGTTATTTTCCCTCTGCTGTGCCGTTTCCCTGCTGGCCCGGGAGGAGGAAGTGTCCTCCTCATGCGCTTTCCGTGGCCTCTGTGCTTGGCCCGGCCCTCGGGCTGGTTCTGCTCTGCAGTCCTCGGGGCGGGGTCACACATCTCCCCGTCTCCAGGACGGAAGTACAGCCTAAGTATTCGTCTAAGGGTCAGTCCTCTTTCTCTTTTCACTTGGAGCTATGTTGTAGAGAAGATGGGAATATCTTTAAAGCTTTATTTTCCTGTCCCAACAATTCCAGCTGCAGAAGTGTCTCAACCCAGGCTCAGGGTGCTTCGTGGGGGGGTGGGGGGGGGGCATTCGCTGCTTGTCCTGCAAGCAGATGTTCTTGACTCAGTCATAGATTTCTTGACAAGAACCAAAGTGAGATGAAAACTCCCTCCTGAAAGGTCTCCACGGAGGAAGCGAGTGCATGAGGAGCAGGGGAGGACGGGAACGTGTGCACTGCTCCTGCCTCCTGCCCCCTCGCAGCTCCCATCCTCAGCAGCCACATTCGGGCCGAGCCAGAGGGCTGGCTTCTGTGGGATGGGGCGTCCTTTAAAGCCCATGCCTACCTCCAGCCGCCTCTGGGCTCGCAGCACCTGCGGGGCCGCCTTCCCTTCCATGCTGGCCCTCCGGGGCCGGAGCACAGGGAGAGGGGGCAGTGGTTTGGAAACAGGCTGCCACGGCCTTCCCACCACACAGCACATCTGCCGTGTCCTGCATGTAACACGGAAGGTCTACAGTCAGGCCGATGATTAGGGAACATCCAAACCCAGCCCGTGACGGGGACGGCAGGTGGTAGGTGAAGTTTTGCAGAATGACTTACGCTGTCTGTCCTGTTCCGTGAACATTTCTTCCCTTCCTCTGTCACTTCACAGCTGGGACCAGCAGGCACGTGAGTCAGGGTGACTGGCTGGGTCCCAAGCACAGTGGCCCTCCAGCCACAGCCTTCCTGCGCCCGAGTTCAGGTCCCGGCTCCGTGAACTGCGGAGCTCGCACGGTTAAGCCTCCCAATCTCGGCTGGGCAGGGAGGACGGGTGCACATCACAGAGCCCTCGTGTTTATAGCTTCACTCTGCTCCCTGCCCTGCCCACGCGAGTATCCAGGCTTCCTTTCAGAAACCTGCCGCGGACTGGGAACCCTGCTGCGGGGAAGGTTCAGGAAGTGCAGGCTCTGTTTGCCTTTAATAAAGTCCATGTCTTTTGTAGAAAATTACTTCTTGGACCACCACAAAGGTCACTGGTCTCTCAATCCTGGCTCTTACCAGTGGCCAGAGACGCCATCAGCCTAGTTCTGGCCCCTCCAGACTTTAAAATGTTAGCAGCAACGCAGTGCCGCCGAGCGCGATGCCGGAGGCCGCTGCGTCCTGCCAGGGGAGCTGCTCGAGTGCAGGAGGTGCTTGCTCAGGTCACAGCCCGAGTCAGTCCAGCTTTCCCTCAGAAACCACCCGAGTGAACTTGCCAGGCGCTTGCTCCCTTGGACGTGGCCGGCCAGGCAGCTCTTGGTCTCGTGAGTCCACTTCACGTGCCTGTCACGGCAGGATTTCCTCCGCGGCACCGTCTCATCAGGATCTCTGCTCCTT